AGGAAAGCTAAGGTGGCGACTGAGTTTCAGTTAGCCAAGGGAGTCAAGGACAATAAGAAGTCCTTCTTTAGGTATGTAGGGAGCAGAAGGAAAACAAATGGAAATGTGGGACTCCTGCTTAACATCTCAGGACAGCTGGTAATGGACACTCAGGAAAAAACTGAACTCCTGAATGCTCACTTTGCCCCAGTATTTCACTGGACCAAGGGGAAAGACAAGCGAGATAAGGATCACAGGGGGCATGGTGGGAATGATAGCCTTTCCACTGTGGATGCTGAGCTGGTGCAAAACCAACTAGAAAAGCTAGACATTTATAAGTCAGCAGGACCAGATGGACTTTACCCGAGAGTGCTGATGGAACTGGCTGAGGTCATTGCAGAACCCCTGGCAAGACTGTTTCAGAAATCGTGGCACACAGGGGAGATCCCTGAGGACTAGAAGAGGGCCAACATTGTGTCCATCTTCAAGAAGGGGAAGAGGGAGGACCTGGGCAACTATAGGCCAATCAGCCTAACCTCCATTCCAGGGAAAATCCTGGAGAATCTCATTAAATAATCTATGTGCGATACGCTCATTGAGGGTAAGATTCTGAATGGCAGCCAGCATGGCTTCATCGCAGGTAGGTCTTGTCTTACCAATCTCATCTTCTATGAACAGGTCTCTCACCACCTGGACATGGGACAGAAGGTCAACATTATATACCTAGACTTCCAAAAGGCTTTTGATCTAGTATCCCATGATATCTTTGTGGAAAAATTGGAAGATTGTGGGATTAACTGCTCAACAGTTCAGTGGGTGGAAAACTGGCTGCATGGTAGGACTCAGAGAGTTCTCATGAACAGATCTGTGTCATCCTGGTGAGAAGTGGCCAGTGGTGTCCCTCAGAGGTCCGTGCTTGGACCAGTGCTTTTCAACATCTTTATCAATGATTTGGATGTGGGGGTGAAAAGCTCGCTGGCCAAGTTTGCAGACAACACCAACTTATGGGGGAGTGTGGTCATGCCAGATGATAGGTTGTAGATACAGGCAGACATGCACAGGCTGGAGAGTTGAGCGGACCAGAGCCAGATGAAGTTTAACACTCAGAAGTGTAAGGTGCTCCATCTGGTGGCAAACAATACCCAGCATACCTACAGGCTCAGTGGCAACAATTTCACATGCACCATGGCCGAAAGGGACCTAGGGGTAGTGATCAACCATTGCATGAACGTGAGCTGTCAATGTGATGCGGTGGCCAGCAGAGCAAACATGCTGGCATGCATTAACTGTTGCATCTCATGCAAAACTAAAGAAGTGATACTCCCACTGTACTCCACATTGATGAGACCACAGCTGGAGTACTGCATCCATTTCTGGATGCTGCACTTGAACAAGG